TTTAAGGACGGCTAAGCGCAAATAACTCATTGTGTAGGTTTGTGTGGAATTCTAAACAAAAAACAAACAAACTTTAGATTATTTTCTAAATGTTCTGGTTTTTGGCTTGATATTTAATAAAATTTGATTCCAATACTTCACTTTTTTCCTCCTGAATAATATTTACCTTTGGTATTTTCTGAAAAATGTATACGACAGCGCTAGATTTTATCCTTTAATTGTCACACTACTGTTTACACTGTGAAAATGCTTTATAGGCGTAATAACTATAAATAGTTTAAAACAAACACATATAATGTGGTCTTATCTTCCTCAAAATATGTAACGTTCTTCTAGCTTGAATTTTACCTACTCAGTTTAACATCATTCCCTGAGGAGCTGAATATCTAAAAATAGTAATAGAAAAAGAAAATTGTTCGGTGAAATGTATAAATTATTGTTATTAGAGTTACGGACTCATTATTCTTCAATTTATTTATTGTAAATAAGACTAAAGTTAAAAAAAAATACTTTACCGTTGGCTTACTTGCCTTCGTGTTCTGTGTAGAACAAGAATTAGTTGTACTCGACGCTCGGTAATTAGAATCGTAAGCTGGGTTTTGAGCAAAAGTTTACAGACAATATACCCAATGGCAGGAAGGCACACGCAGTTCAAGGCAGCCTCCCTTCCTTAGAGTCATGAGGAAATTGTTTACCTCTTCCGATGTAGCTTCTGTAGCGTATGGGGCCGCACTGAAGTCTAAAACATCAGTATATTCGAAGAAAGCTTTATGCGAGATGATATGTTGAAGGAAAGGTTTTCTGTATATGTTGATTATTCTTTAGGATATGTAATATATGTAAATATATAACTATTTAGTTACCAAACCAGTGAAAAAAATGTCTTCTGTTTTTTGTATTCCAATCTCTGGGCATAATCTTGTCACTCATATTGTAACTCACGATCACTAGAATTTTAACATGTCAGAACAACTTACTGATAGTGAGAAGAGCTGACAGAATATCTCAATCTGGGCAGTGTAATAACAGTATATTACAAGTATCGCTATTCTACATTGTCGAATATTCTAAAGTTTGTGTCTTTACAATTTGAAAATACACATACAGAATGGTTTCAAACGAATATTTGTTTCCATTCTTCAGTGAAAAAAAAAGCAACATTTTCCAAAAAAAAGTTCTAATTAATTTCATATTTGGCAAAACGTACAAGCAGCATTATTTAACATGACATATTGTTAAGTATCAGAAGAACTGGTTAAAAAAGGGAGTTTCCATCAACAACTGTGCATTGTTAACAGTTCCTATGTCTGCTAGACTTTTTGCTTAGCATTCCAGCTAATCACGAAAGTTGAATTCATCTTCCAAAACGTTAGTGGACAATGTTTATAACATATTAAAGGTACATAAAAAGGTTAGTTGAAGTTGTACCAATGTGCTCTTTTCATGAAAAGCTGTATTGCATTATCAATCTTATTGTGATACCAAACTTTTTACACAAAAGGTTTCAAGCCTTACAGATTCAACGTTACACGCCTTCGTTAATATCAAAGCGAGTCAGAAACTATTATTATCAAATTGTTGGATACTTGTGTTTTGTAACACAATCAGTTATTTCGGTAGGTTCAGTAGAGTTTGTTTTGTTTGTAGTTAAGCACAAAGCTAAACAATGAGCTATCTGTGCTGTGCTAACCACGGGTATCAAAACTCGGTTTTTAGCGTTATAAGCTTTCAGGCTTACCACTGAGCCACTAAGGGTGAGAGGGGTTCAGTAGAGAACGTCTTATTGTGATACAGTGACATTCGCATAAACTATTGACATTACACTCTTAAATACTAGTGGCCTTCAGTAGAATCAGTCTGTTAAGAAAATTTAGTCAGCTACTACAGGTCTTATTATTGCTAAGTATTTTCATCAGGTAGAAACTATTGATGTCACTTTATTAGATGCCACTGTCTTTTAGCAGGCTAATGCGGTTAAGGAGATTTAGTCGGCTTCGACAGGTGTTATTGTCAATGGGATTTCTTGAATAATAGAAAATTAATTGAGTTTACAGCCAACAAGATAAATTATAACGTACAAATAATTAAACGACCGAGTCTGACGTAACCATTATTGGTTTTAGCTATGTTTGATTTTTCTTATAAATAATAAAAGGGAAGCAAAATTGCAAAAGTTACTTAACAGTTGCAGAAACAAAATCTTTCAAAGTCTTCATCCATGTAAAATGAATTAATGCTTTTGCTTTTGTATAAGAATTCTGATACACATTCAAAAGTTCTGAATGAAACAGAAAACAGAGTCCTGAAAAATTAAAATTTTAGTCGTGTACAAGTAACAAAGAGCCATTTTAACTTAAGCTAAGGTTTTTTTTTATTCTACGTGTACAACTGTGTTATTCTCGAATTCTACGATTCTGAAAATATCACCTTTAGCTTTAATGTTTATTCTTTTCTGCTTGCTAGTTAAGACACAATAAAGCTACTTTTCTCAAAGCACATATGCTACACACATGACTGTTGGTTATTCATGTAAAAAGAGAGGGAAGTTGCAGTCTTAAGATATTACCTGGCCTGCCAGTGGAAAAGATTACTGTCCATTTTTGCATATTGAGCTAAATTTCACGGAAATCTTTCACATGGTAAAGCATATGTGATACCCCAGGGGAATGACCCAGTACAATAGACAACTAGGATGAAATGAGCTCTGCTACTTTCTAGACTGACATTTTATGTTCAAACTACATACACCATATAAAAATTTTGAAACTTTCTATATCAAAGGAATAGAAACCTCGTAGTATGCCACTACATTGGTATATCAAGTGTTTGACATTTCTATAAAAGTAATATTTTATTATGGTTAGGTCTGAACAAAAAATAATAATACTGATTCTAAAATATAATTTATGAATTTGTTTCATAAAAAATGCTCAATCTTCCATATTTTTAATAACAATTCATTTTAACACTGTTTTTTTGTTAGCTCGATTAATATGATAAAATCTCGAAATGTTTTCAATGTATTGCTACGTGTTTTAATCAAATGTGTGATAAGTATTCACAAAACAAAACTAAAGATGTGATCACTGTCATTCTATTCAACCACACAGCTAAGCTAATATCAGGTAATATTTTAACTTTTTTATTTATTGATTTGTATCTTCATAAACATTACTGTTTGATTGTTATATGGGAAAATTACTACAGTCTGAATACAGGTGTCACTTATAATGGTTGGAGACGGCTTGAATGGGTAATGAAGAAAAACTTTAATATATGTTTTACATAACAGCAAATGTACAACGTTTCGACAAGGTTTTGTCATCATCAGATACGTGTCATCAGGTGTCACTTACCACTGGCACTGAACGGTAGGGGTGGCTTAATGTGTTTTCTTTGATCAAAAGATGTGTTAGGCTGAATTGGAGAAAAAACAAATATGTTTTACTAAGTTCACGTTTTCCAAATAAGTTTCTTGTACGATATTTGTTCAAGTTGACAACTAGTGTCTCTATGTTGCCTAGATAAGGTATACTGTATTATATACTTATTGTTACTTTCATACTATTTATTATATCAAACGCCTTTGCTTTTTATTTATTGTTTATTATTATACTTTTATTATAAAGATTGTTTTACATTATTAGCTTAAAACATGTATTTAAAATTAACCTAAATCTCCAAAGGTGTTCGAACATCGTGAGACATTATTGAGATTATAGCCGAATATATCGTTAACAGCGAGGGCACCCAAATGATGAAGCAATGCAAAAGTATATTTAATTATTTATACTAATTGTTAGGTTGACTTTTAGTTCCACTATAAATACATAGCTTGCTCTGATTGGAAGTTAATGTTAATATTTAATTTTTTCTTGAAAGCTGCCTCCGTGTAAAACATGAAATGAATTTTACAGTTTTGAATCTTTCACTTTTATTGAAACATTTTCCCCATAGTGTCTGATGTCATACCCCAAAAATTTAATAAAATTAAATGAAAGCCTTAAGAACACAATTTGTTTTAATGTTAACTACCTTTTATTAAATTATGTATTTATATTCAAACAAATTATGGGAATATAAATATGTAAATAAAATATATCTAATGTCATAAATAGTATCAACTGTATATAGGCGATAAAATCAGCACTATATAAAACAATGGTAGATATTTGCATAAAAATCTAAATCAGGTAGTTTAGTGTGAATCAAAAACAAGCCATTGCTTATAAAAAATTTGAAATTTATAAAGTTTATAAACGACTAATTAAATACAACAATTAAAAATCATACTTATGTCAACAAAGTACAAAAATAAATACTGTTTAAATGCCATAGTACCAAAAAGCATTGAGGATATTTCGTCTATTAGATATAACCTAAAAACACAAGTGAATACGTGATAGCTCTCACGGAAGATCAATTAGGAGTTAAGTGTCGGGTACTCTAACCCACAAAGTCCCAAAACATACTACCATTCACTTTCTGTAGCCAATTTTGGGCATGGTGGTCACTCCTAAAATGTCAAGATTTTAAAAGTAACATCATAGTAAACATTTTGTTGTTAAGAGCCACCTTTAATTTCTACTCTTGTTAGACACCCTTTGAACAATTATTAGTGTACATGTTGTTCTTGTAAACCAGGCATTAGAAGAAAGCATTATCTGATTTTACAAATATATTGCAGGACTTTCAGACAGCAAGACATGCAGTGTTTAAATTTGGTATATATCCATTTTCATGTTGCTCTAAGTTATATGAGTAGTTGTTCGCTACTTAAGCAGCTAACGCGCTTTAAAAACCATACATATACTTAAGTATAAAATGTGTTTTACTACCGAATATATGAAATAGTGTAAACATTTTTCTACCATTTCGGATTTTCTTTTTTGTTTTCATTGTCCCCCAATTAAACACTTCAAAACCTAAACTACACAGGTGGAGCTGTGAACTAATCACTTTTCGCCCACTAAATTGGAAGAGGGAAACGAGGCCATTAATGAATATTAAATTAAATAGCTTTGTTCAACATAAGAAGTTTTGTATGTTTTCAAATACAAAGATGATTATGATATCCAAAAATGCATAAAACGGGTGTTGTTTTTTATATCATTATTTTTATTATGAGTCTGAACATTAGTACCATTTTCATTTGATAAATCTCCTTTAGTGAAAGCAACGTCTTACGATTAGCTACCAAAACAACCTCACAACCCGGAAAACACGAAAATTATCAACAAGTGTGAGATCAACTTTCCTTCCCGCCTCTTCCGACTGAAACTATACATACAAACACAAAGGGTTTATGAAGGAATGGGTGTACTTTTCCTGAAACAACAACGGAAGTGCGCATTTAGCCAAACCGGAAAACCGCGAACCAGATATTGACAAATCTGTTTTTTGTTGTTCTTTTAATATTATTATAGAAATTTGGTAATTTACTGGCTAGCGATGTTCGTAAATTCAGAAGTTGTAATGCTGCGTCTCACTTCCATTTTTCTGAAGTATGTGGTTAGGTGTTTTCGGCTAGTATGAGCTTGTAAAGTGAAAACAAATACTTTCTGTGGAATAATTTTTATATAAAGGTTCTACTTATCTTTCACTACCCCCCCCCCCATCGTGGCTCAGTGGTGAGTTTGGGGTGTGCACAGCGCAGATAGTCCATTGTATACCTTTGATCTTAATAAT